ACTTCCTCAGGCGGACGGGTGCGGGGCAGGCGGGCCAGGGACACGGCGGTGGGGGCGGGGCAGGGCCTGACACAATCGTGTAAACTCTTAGAATTGACAACAACATGAAGAGGCTTTAGGATCCAAATGGGGGCAAGAGTCGACTTTATACATTATAATACATTATATATAACTTGGTGTATCCCATGGCCCGGTATGTCTGCTTGTCCGTCTGGTTCTCGTATCTCACATCTGGCGGGCAGGTCCCTTTCTTGCACAGCTCGACCAAATCACCACCCACTGCTCAGTGGTAAAAAAAGCCCTGGCTTTTGCCACTGAGCAGTCTCGTCACCAATCCACCAGTGACGAGCCACTCAAAGTCCTGTGTCATGCGGCCATCAAAGATTTCCATCTTCTCCTTTGGTTTCACATGTTTCAAGGCAAATCATTTCAGCCGCACACTCTCCCAGGTGGGTTTCATGGCCCACTTGGAATGTCCAAATCTATATAAAGAATCGAAAGAACGCTTGAGGATGCTTGGGGAAATTACAGGATTTCACTGAATCCCAAATCAACGAAACGCAGAAAACACGCTTTGAGGATGGGAACCATGTGCCAGGGGGATTCTTGGGCTTCAAGAACAAAACGACCCACCGTGAAAGGCTTCTATACGGTCATGTAATATCATGCACTCATCACCCTTCCTGCGAACTCACACCGCGCCTCGACGCGTCTGAGCTCCGATTGCATCAGCCTACAGGGCGTCAGCTTCGGACCGTTCGGACAAGTTCGGACCCTTCGGACCAACACAACCCATGTCCGTGGTGGCTGGTGGCCGTGCTGGGGCATGAGGGGTCTATGCCTATGCCCTGCTGCATGACACGTTGCCATCGAAGCAATTCTCTCAATCTTCACCGTGATCAACCGCTGAACCGGACTCGGCAGCACAGGGTCGACCACTTGGACCAACGTGTAGTGTATACACAGGCTCCGTGGTTGTTTCGCTGTGTTGAGACCTTCTGCAGCTCACATACTGGTTTCAATGTGCCGTCGGCAAATCCAAGGACACCTCAAAGCATGAAAAAGCCTCCAACATCTCCATTTAGAAGAATGTTCTTGTGTTTCTTGGGTTGCTCCTTTGATCCGCAGGACATCGCCATACATGGCATGGTGGGTGCCACCCATTGCAAGTCATGTCGCACAGGCCTCAGCCCATCTGGCACATTGGCAGCTTCCGCCCGCATCTCTGCCAAGCGCTGATCCAAGACCTTGAGCAGCCGCTTCGGGATGGCCACATGGATGGCCAAAAGAAGGACCCTCCACCAAAAGGCCGAAGATGCGCATTGACAAAAAAACAAAATCAACACATACCAGTACCAGCTGCATCCAGCGCTGCACAACCTTTGCGGGGTCACCAATGAACAACCCTACACTACTTGTAGGTCTCCAAGTTGTGAACCCCTTGGAGGTGGCAGGTTCAACCTTCGGCCGTCCGCGGTCCAATATCCTTTTCGGTGTGGGTGAACACTGCGCAAAGCCTCCGTGCTGGGGTGCTCCATTCTTCCGCTTGCGGATCGATGGCAGATTGGAAACAATAATAAGATACAATAAGCTATGCATCCCTTTGCAATCATTCCAAAGTCCCTATCATTCCAAAGTCCCTATCATTCTCTTTTGCAATTCCCTTCGAACGGTTCTGCCTCTCTCCTCAGCCGCAGCTCCGAAGCTCCGCTTCTCACCGCCGACCGAAGCTCTAGGTCGTGCCTCGCCCACCTTCCGCATCTCAGCCAAGCGGAGCTCGAAGTCCTTGCTGTCACAAGCTGCCCTCACATCCTGCAGCACCTGCCGATTTATGGCGTGTCGCGAACCAAAGAACGGCTTCGTTGATGGGTTGGGTGTGCTTTTTACTGGGGGGGGATGGGGCATGATGGGGCGGATTTGTTGGTTTTTGTGGCAGGTTTGGGGTGTGGGGAGTCCCAGCGCTGGATCCGCTTGCTGGAGTCAGATGTATTCTGAATGCCGACGCCCGCCTACGATCTGAGGACAATGTACTCAATCCACTGACTTAAAGGGAAACCTCCTAACACGTGGGTTGACGGACCCTAATACAATTCCCATGGGTGGTGGAGCGCATTCGGAAGACAATCAAACATTGAAAAATCGACACTCAAAAACCCGTCGACCAAGTTATCACCCTGACCAAGTTGAAGATGCTTCGTTGCATGTTTTTTCGACACATGGCGGCGAGGCCGAGTTTTATGTCTGCAGTCATTTTGACAAACCAAGCCTGAATGAGACCTATTTGAGGTCGAAACGAGTCGGGCCAGCAGCCCGCTCTGAACGGCTTTCAGTGCCAAGGCTGAGCGGCAGTTTTGGGGACTTGGGAGGCCCAACCTGTTCATTGACTGACTGACCGTGTTTGTTGATGTTTATGTCTGTTTGCTCCTGCGTGGGCGTGCCCATCCTCAAAGAACCGAGGAGGTCACAGGTTTGAGACCCTGGAGCTCCTGGTGAGACCCTGGAGGAGCCTCAGCATGCATGGAGGATAAGAGCACCGCCACGCGGTCGACGAGCGTATCCAACTGTTTCTGCTGCGCCACCAAGGAGGCGCGTAAATCACCTCGGAACATCTCGGAACCAGGTACATCAACAAGTCAAGGTCTCACACCTGGAGCTTCAAAACGAACTGGAACCAAGTACTGGCTGTAAACGCAACAACTCAGCTAATTCACAAGTCCCGCCATCTCTTAGCATTTTCAGCAACTCAAGCTCCATCTCCAGACTCCGGTCCTGCCATGTCCTGCCATCTCCCATCCCCTTCCAAACCGAGCCACAAATCCCCGTCCCCACCCACGTGCCGGCACCGGCCACCGGAAGGGCCGGCCCCGGCTTCGGCAGCACGGGCGCCAAAGTGACGGCCTCGCCACTGCTGCCGGGGCCTTAGGAGGCCGCGAAAGGAGTTGATCAGACCTGGATCGCCCGACTAGGCAAGTCTTCCAAGCTGGGCTGATTGTGTAGAGATAGATGGTGTCAATCACCTGAAAATTCTTCAACCTGGTCGGTTGACCTATCCACCATCGATATGATATGGCACCGGACTGACTTGGTCGTTCCAACACCCTGCAGTGATCCATGGCCACCGTGTCCTATTTCCGGTCGGGTGCGTGCCGGATACGTGCCGGTCCTCTGGGCTAAGGATGAACATCATGAACCTCTCGCAGTGGAGGCTTCTCCTTTGCGTGTGCTTTTTCAACACCAATGCATGGGATTCAACACCAAACCATGGGGGATTCCCGGATGCACATCATGGTACATACACCCTAGAAGATGATCACATGGACATGGACCACTGAAAAACCACTGGTGTCGTAGAGGAAAAGAGATTTTCCAGGGGGGCCTATCTTGTCAGGGTCTATGTGAGTTTTCGGGAGTCTATCTGGTGAAAGGGCACACCGCGGCACACCTGCCAAAACCCAAGCGATTCACATCTGCCAAGACATGCCAAGACTTCGCAAGAGCGAAATTCATACACAGCTGGGTGTGCATTAGAATAAGGAGACCCCAAAGACTTCTGGGAAAATCAACAACAAACTGAATCCAGTGGTTGAAAGGTTCCCCAATTTAAACACCAACCCTGCCAACCCATCTGATTTCTCGATTGCTTTCGTTCGCTCTTTTCCGCGCTCTTTTCCGCGACCCACCCATTCTGAATTCTGCTTGAGGGATCGGAGAACCAAGGTCCCAGCTCCAAAACACAGCACTCGGAGAGAGGAAACTTCAACGGTCGGACCCCAAGAAACCCCGCGAAGAGCACAGAAAACAGAAAAACAAACAGAACGAAGACCGAACGATCAGGTAGGATTATGTAGGATTGACCTATAGTGGGTTTTTTGTCTGCAACATAGGGGTCTCCCCGCAAAGCAATGGGGATTGACCTCTATATTGTCAAGTCCTTTCAACATGCACTGATCCAACTTGTTGCCCCGCCCCCATGACTCCACTGGCCAAACAGCGAAGGGAAGTCATCGTGTGGGGCTTCATGGCCAGACCAGGCATGGCGCTTTGGGCAGCAGAACGCGTTGGCCGTCAATGCAGGAGAAAGAAGCCAAAGGATGAGATTGAGTTCATTGATTCTGCAGAAAAGAAGGAATCCTGCTTGGCCGGGCTTTGTGCGGGCTGAAGAACTTAGAACACTCCCTGACCACATCTGAGAGCTGATGCCTAATTGTCTTTACGATGCTGTAGGTCAAATCGTCGTCGTCATTCTTGGAACATTCCCCTTCCAGCACAGAGGCAGCACCCGGTTTCAATGCTGTCCAAGAGGAAGGGTCGCAGGAGTGCTACTATGCAGTTGCATTTTAATGCCCTGCATCGCCTGCATGAATCAGTATGCATTGTGGATATGATGGTCATCTTGAGCCCCTCAAGGCAAGTCCAGTATACCTGCTGCCTGACAAATCCAGCTTCAATCAGCTCGATGCTGGTTTGGTGCTTGCTGTTTCTGCTCCCAAACGGCTGACGTGAAGGAAAGAAAACCTACCTCCACTCAAACGTTCATTCCCCCAGTTGGACTCGGAAAGTGCAAGTCCATGTAAATCCATGCTTAGTCACTCAGTCTGTCTGTTAGTTGGCCAGTTAGTTGCAAACTACATGGCAGTCCAAAGGTTGAGCATTCAGACTCGCTAGGAACTCGTCTCCATTAAGCTCATTTCATCTGGATGCTCGTCAGGAGGATTGAGGACCCTCCAGCTCCTCAGCACTGTCTCTTCGCAGACATGAACAAAGAGAAAACAGTGGTGTGCTGTGTAGTAAATGTATAACAAATACACATGAACACATCTACACCTACCAAAGCCCTCTTTGGCTTCACCAACCTCAGCCTTACCAAGTGGTCATTTCCAAACCTTGCTCTGTTTGCCACACCTTCCGTTCAACACATTCAGTCCAGAACTCAGGGCCCACTCAGGAGCTATGCCCACTGGCCTCCCCGAGGCCAACCCCTCCCGTCCCGTCGGCTGCACCTGCCCGGGCGGCGCCTCCGACTCCTGTGCTGAGTTTCAGTTGGACACGACGGGGTCGTGTCCGGCGGATGCTTTTCGATGCTTTAGGGCATCCTCCACAGCACATCGAGAGTCGACAGGGACACGTTTTGCCAAGCTAAACTCTCGACTAGTCCGAGTTGGCCAAAGCAGTTCTCTGCGGAGCTGTTGTTTTTCACCATGCACCATTGAACATAACCAGCATCCCCATGACCGCGCAAGGCGCTGTGGATGGGGTCCAAAGGAGGTCTGAAGACGCATCGGGACTCTTCTCCCAGCTTTCTTTGTCAAAACGACAACCATTCATGCGTGATCATCGGACTGATTGTGGACTGACGCACGGCCGAGGCGATTCATGCATTATCAAAGTCACAAGCTGAAGAGAATGCTCCGGTGGTGCATGTTCACGTGCGTTGCCTTGAGGTGCTGTCACTTTCTTCATTTGAACACCCAGGCGAACCGTGTGGCCTTCACAGCAGCATTCTCCACTGTATCCTGCTGTAGTTTTCATTGGGCATCTCTCATGATGCTGGTAACAGTGGATACATGCTGTTTAGTATATGGATGGAAAAAAAACCTTCCCAAAAGTAGTGACAATTGTTTACCTACCTACTGTTACTGGTAATGGCACACATCCTAGGTTTTCTTACGTCTTGGTGCCCAGAGCTGGAGCATCACGGAATCATCTGATTGCCATCTTGCAACAAACCAAGGTAAGAACCTACAGCCTCGCCAAATCATGTAACAAAGGAACGAGGACCGCCATCGGCTCAAGCCACAGGTTCCTGCCACAAAAGTCCTAGAAGAAGAACAAACTGAGTCCTGGACCAACTGGAAACTGACCCAGAATTCCCACACGCGGATGCCGTGAATCCAATGGTGAAGGAGTTCCTCAACTTCAACATGAGGGAAGTAAAAGGTACAACCCCCAGAAGTTACCGTATATAATAAGGCATTCGAGTCTTAGAGCGTCACCGGGCAAGACCTGGTCGAGCGAAGTTCGGCTCTTTTTCACAAGCTAGCGGTGCGAGGAGCTGAGCGCTGTCAAGCGTGTCCAGCTGCTCTGGGTGCGAATTACAAGAAGCGATTTCCCAGGTCTCTCTTCAAGGCCCTGGTGCAACTTCGCTGCATCTGCCCTCCCTCTCGCCACTTGCCCATGGCGTCGCATGCTGCAAATGCAAGCCCGCCCAGAGGAATCTCAGCCTTCATGGGATATGGATGGATAGCAGCTGGTGGCATGGGCGACACACTTGGTGGTATCGACGACACCGGCACACCGTAGACGTACTTCTCCAAATTCGCCTGTGCTTGCTCCGCCTGCAGCGCCGCTAAGTTCGTGTTCTGCGCCATGGCGATGGCCTGTGCTGCTGCCTGCTTCGCCGCCGCGGAGGCCGCCTTGGCGGCCGCGACGGCCTTCAGGCCCATGGCACCGGCAATGGTCAGGTCCACAGGCATGGCCGCCCCCGGATTCGGGCCCGGGTCGACTTCCTATCTAAGTGGGCATGCATGGGCCTACTTATGCATCCTTCTGAATCAGCCTGCAAGTTCAGAGCTCACGTGGGCCATACTCAGAACTTCCTCATCTATATATTTGAGCCAACCTGCAAGGAAATGCAAGGAACGCTCAGGTCGCCTGAGAAGTTGGTGTGCCTGAGTCCATTGGGTACCACCAAGGGAACTCATGGGTAACGGCCTAAGGGAGAGTGAGAACAACCCAAAAACCGAGGAAGATCGTGTTCGTCCTTGGTGTTTGTCAGAGCTCTGGCTCTATCAACCGCGGACCACAGGCGGCCAGCCTTCCATTCCCAAGTGGCACCTTCTCGCTCTCTGCGTTCGCATTCACAGAAGCACCTAGACCAAGCATGTTGCTCAACGGATCGTGGTGTCCGGAGGCTCCACGATGCGCGGCTGGTTGGGAGCTCAAAGATGCTCAAGGCCAGAAACAACTCGAAGCGGAGTCCAACAAATGTTGGATTGAGAGATTCAGCTATATGCTAGAAATGTCCACAAATCTAGTCCTTCTTCAGGATTCAGGATCACTTCCCAAAAGGTGTCTCTAGTCACTGTCTGTAGTAGTGGTGCTTGCCCCAAAAAACGTGCATGAATGTGCATTTAGTGAAGCTTGAACCTCATTCTTGTATATCTTTATACATATATATTATATATATATATATATATTTGAATATATGAATGAAACAATCACGGAAGTGGACAATGGCCTCATTTTCCCAGACGATTTTCCTCCACCAAGAGGGGGCTTGTCCACTTCCATGTTTCTGGCAGGGAGGGTACTGACCACTAAGGCCGCCTTGGCTCGGCACCATATCAAATCCGCACCCAGACCCTGCGATGACTCAGGTCCCGCTCCGAACCTCCCCACAGGGTCCGGACTAGCGGCGTGGACCGGCATCCGACAAAAACAAGCAAATACCACCAAAGTCATGACATGTAAATACCAAGGAGTGCGCACTCAACGTATCAAAATCATTGACTTATGTATTAGAATATGAGGATAATATGATGTACAGGTATGTACAGGTACTCCAGTGATTCGTTCTGTCGGATCCTTGGGTGTGGCTGCGCATGTGGAAAGACTGGAAAAAACAATGACCACATAGCTATAGCTATCGGAGCTACAGTATTACGGAGCCATCTACTCAGGTAACAGCTCTCCGCCTCACTGGTCTCGCTCCAAGGCACTCAGGGTGGGCATCATCGGCTCAGCCGTGCTGGAGCTCCTCTGGGAGACATAGACCTGCGACACCCAGCGATTTCCAGTCCCTGACCTCTTGAAGAAGGCCTGGCAGCGAACTCCCAGGTCACAAATGATGGGAGTCTTACAGTTTCTTGGCCCATTCAACTACGGGCAAGGTGTCGGTGTTAGGCTTCGATACACCATGGACTTTTGACCTATAGGCTTACGGCTTGAATTTGGACACTCAAAAGTACACGCAAAAGACATCAAAAGACCATGCGTCAAAATTGCTAGCCAAGGCCTTCAAGGCTCCATCTCACATGTTGTTGATGGACAAAATCCTATACTTAGAATCACAACCGGCTTACACCCATCGACCGCCAAATCTGGCGTTTTCCTCACGCTTTGAACATGCCGAGATGGGATTCCTTGGTCACTATCTCTCTTGGGGGTTTGTCTGTGGCCTTTGATGTCCCGTCTCCCCATGCAGTCTCGCGCAAAAGCCTCCTCAGTGCTGCCCTCCGAGCTGAAGGTCACGGGATCCATGGTCGCGGCCTCACTCGTGCTCCAAAATGAAAAACACCCTGTTGAACAGAAGTTCCTCCAAAAATGGCCTGAGGATGGAAGGCACCCATGCCTGGCTGTGGTGTTGAAGAAGACAGTGATTGGAATAGATTACTGTATACAGCATCTGTTCACAACTAAATGTTGGTGTTCTACAGGAGGGAACAAAGGAAAGAAACAAATACATCCTCAAATCTCACATCCTGGTGGAGGTCTGTTTTGAGGTGTAGTGTACGTGTTAGCTGCTAGCGGGAGCGCTCCCAAGCATGCCGGGGTTCGGAATGGCATGTGGCCGTTTCTCTGCAGGTTCGCCAGTGATTCTCAAAGTGAGAACAACTCCAACCCCACTAAAAGCAGCACCTGGCGACCGGACACCAGCTCTCAAGGCTGCAATCACCTGCTCGTTCCGCAGCATCCAGCGCAAACGCCTCGATGCTGCGGTGTCTGAAACAGAGGCCAAGCGAGGAACCGAAGGCGCCATAACGTGTCAAACAGAATCCAGCGAGGATTGCTGGTCCAAAAATGGCCCCCCCGATCTCAGATGTCTTAGTGCGGATTAGATATATATATATATATACCTCACGCGTCGGACGATCTGCGTCGACGGTATGACAGATACTCTGATCTGATCATACACTAGATATATATAGATACCAGCACCCTCCAACAGGTCTCCTCTGGAGGCTTTTGCTGACTTAAAAGTCGCAGGTGGTGACCTGTTGGAGGGTGCTGGTATATATATATATATGTGTTAATCACTCAGGTCACCGACCCCCGCAAGAAAGACAAACACACAATTCACCAGGGGCCCTCAGGGCTACTTTTTCAAGGCACCGCGGAACGGCCCCGCCTCTCCTCTCCCCGCCTGAGGCGCCGCAGGAGCTGAATGGCGAAGACGAGCAAACCGAGGCCCGTCAGCGCGCACACCACGAAGATGGGCGCCTGTCCGGTCGGCACGTCCGTCGAAAACGCAGAGGGTCGGATCGTGGCCGGTGCGGGTGTGGCAAATGTGGCAGGGAAGGTGGCAGAGACAGACATGGAAGACGTCCTGTACACATCATGGAAGTGGAAGGGGAAACTGGGAACCAAACAGGTGGTTTTCCACCTCCAGGTAAGTGAGTGGGAGGGTATGTGTATTTGCGGCTGGAACAGTGTAAGAGATAGGAAGACAATCCAGCGTATCATATGTTGATATATTTAATCTGATGTAATTAATGATGTTCTATTGTGGCAGTTTATGACACATGGAAAACCAAACTCAAATGGACAAAGGCAGTTTTAGACTGTAACGCACACCCGCTCACAGCAAGTTACAGTCGATACCCCAGATTCGAGCATAGTTCCCAGGGGGTTCTCTTTGGACGAAATCGGCACTCTCGTCAGCTCTGGTTACAAAAGCCACCGGCCAAAATGGTTAGACATCTCCATTGGATTCCATTGGGGTGGTGGTTTTAATCAACATTGTCCATCTAGAAGAAACAGGAAACCGGCTTGTTCGAGCGGGTCAGCCTCGACCAGGGCTGTCAGTGCTAGGCCTCACTCTGCAGTTTGGGCAACCAAAACCGCATCTGATAGAGGTAGTTTCGGGTGCTCAGCAGGTTGGTGGCTCACCGAACAACATAACAAGTCATTGGAGTGAATCAATCACCCCAGCCGTCCATTGAGAATCGATGCTTCAAACCATCGGTATCGTCTGCATCGACCCACATCCGTCTTGGAGTTGCAAGCTGGGGAGCTGATGTTAGGAGACTCAATTGGGTCATAGATTGGGTCAGCACTGGGTTCTTCTTCTCTCGAACTCACCAGGTGTCGGTGGTTGGGAACGAGTCCTCTTCCCAACCTCCTTCAGGAGTCTCCCATGTTCTATGCAAAGGCTCGGGTTTCGAGTGAATGATCATGATATCCGAATGCTTACACCCTGGCTTAGGCCCCTTGCCCCAAAAGATTTGACTGACCAATGTCAGAATCCAAAATGAACTTGAGAACTGCTGCAAGACGATGTTCCTTTAACGAATTCAGGGTTCAGCTTCTACGTGCGTATCTTTAACTTTCCCGATGCATTCTTTCTATTAGGACCATGTTTCAAGCTTCGCTGACTTCTGCACATGTCACAAACCAACCCGTAGGCCAATGGCTCAAATGCTGCTTGCCATCGTCCTGGCAATGGAAAGTGGAAACTGGATCAATCCCCGAACAGGCAGCTTGACGAAGATTTGTTGGAGGTCCTCTAGCCTGTGGATCTACAGTACCAGTTCTTTCACACAAATCATCTACATGGGGCGAAATATGGAGAAATGCCATGCCATGCTAAAGCCTTCCACTATAACTTCTCCGGCTCAGAGGAAAATGAAAAAAAAAAACAGCAACTTTCCCAGCACTAAGGAGTTCTAAACCTGAAAGTTGTCTTTGGGATCAACTCACTCTAAGAAAGATCCGAGCATGGAAAGCGCTTGCTTTGGACCCAAAGGATTCTTATCCTTTGGGCCAAATGATGCGAAATGACTCTTTGCCTTTGGGAGGGCCGACAAAGGGGCGCTCCAATGCGACCGAATGGGGCGGCTCCAATTTCGGACGTCTGACGGATGGAGTCGCCGCATGCGGATGCCCCCCATGCGAAGTTCCGGCCCTTTTTCTCCTCCACATTTGGCGCCGGAGAGGCAGGCAGGCAGGCCCGATCATGCAAGCCAAAAAAAGCATGTCGAACAACTGCTCTTCCATTGAGGCCTGCCCCCCCCGACACAGCATGTATGCACCATCTACATTCGAGAGTGGCACATGTGGCATCTGCTGTGTCCATTCTGCGAGGGTGAAACGGCTCATCTAAGGCTCTCCAGGACCGTCGTGATCATGTTGTTGACACCTTGGATGGAGTGTGATGGGCGCCTCGTTGAGCACTAGTCATTACATGTCATTACTAGTCCTTACAAGCTGGTGGTAAAAATCATGGGCCTCTACTCCGACTGAGCAACCCTTTCACTCACCCTAACGTGGGGAAGCGCACAAACCCTGCAGCAAGTCTGCACGTGTGCCGCCGACCAGCGGGCAGATGTCCATGCTGTTCAATTTCACAAAGCAAGTTGGACCACGCTAGGCAAACCTGAAGAAAAAACCGCTGCTGAACATCGCCCCGAAGTTGGGTCTTCACAGCCTGCCAGCCTGGGTCTTACATGGTCGTCTTCTCGAGCGAACTGCTCTGTTCGGAGAGCTCCCCTGTTCTCTTCCCACTGCTTGCAGTGCGTAGTGCCCCTTGAAGCTCCATGGCTCCCTTCTAAGAGAGGATGCCAACCCCTAGCTCCTTCCGCTCCCTCTACTGCGGGCAACGACCCCTAGCTCAGCACCTCCACCAAGCAACGTTGTGCCACCTCCTCGTCCACTGGTTGCCACAGGAAGCCTGCAGGACTGAGCCATGGACTGAGGCCGGAGCAAGAACAAATCTGCTTCAGAATCTATTCCAAGCTGGGAAGACATCCAAATTGTTATTCAAAAATCATGAACCTACCAGTAGCCTTTACAAACCCCTGGATGTTTGATCCTGTCCCCTGACACCCCCAGAAACAACCTTTATTCAATTTTATATACAGTAATATATATATATATATATCTTGCAGCCCCTCCTCTCCAACTTAGAGGCCATTTCAGAATGTATCTCTTTGTGTGGGACATGCCATATACAGATTGAAAACAACACATCTTTGTAGTTTCACAATGTCAAAAACCGTAGTGCAGCCCCAGGATGTAACTTTAGGCAGTACAAAGGAGGACCATTATGAGCGATGATGAGATGAGTGAAAATGTCTATGCCCTGTCTGAATAGTCCCTCTTCTTCTAAGGTGCTTACGCCTACGCCCTGAACAGTCCCACTTCAACATCTACATGCCCTGTGTGGGCAACCATGTTGCTCGTGTGCGTCTGACAGTGGGATGTATGGTTGGTGCAAACTGTCCGTCGCATTCAGGTTCTAATGCTAGGATGGCTGAGGGACATTTGTCGTCCGGATGCACATACTCTTGACGTGCCTCGGATTACACAGTAGAAAAAAGAAAACAACAGCGACCTTGAACACGCCTAGAAGCAGAGTCCTTACAACCATTGTCATCGGTGCGACTTGTAGAGAATAAAAGAATGACCCCTAATATATGTTTTTCTTATATTTACATATTTATCTATATATATATAATAGATATATTATATCTTATCCTCAGGATCCTGAGGATCTCTTCCCGCATTCCTTGCGAGTCGCAGTTAGTCGTTATGTGGGCCGTCCATCTTGGCTCGACTGTGAGGCATGAGGTCGGCCCGGTGTTCTGTCATGGGTACCTCATGCTACCTCACTGACTTCAGACCAGGGGGGGCTTTCATAGCGGTCTTGAATCAGTAAAGCCATAGCTCCGAAGTGGGTGCCCCATGACCCACACCATTCACTAGTAAATTGCAAACTAAAGGAAGAATGAACATGAATGAACCCATATCAAATCTATTTGCTCGACATGATCTTACGCTATCAGGGCTGTTTCGGCACACGCTTAGAGATGACCCTTCCCGCTGACATGGCGCCTTCTCCTTCGGTCTCGTCCTCAAAGTCCAGGTCGGTGACGGGGACGTCTTCGGCGAAGGGGACGAGGTCTTCCAAAGCCTCACCTGGGAGATACCCCCCTTCGGCCGGAAGCGGAAGCTGGTGGGCCACGCAACCAGGATAGAGCTGTTGAGAGGGATGAGAGAGACAGATCTGCGAAACAACACTCCACCGATCTCCAAAAACGAGGTGACCAAGGACTGCATGCGACCTCCAAGAAAGAGTTTAGAAAGGACTGCCGAATATCCTGAGGTGAGTTGCGGCTGGACACTATAACTCACGCATGCAACATCCTGCCAACCCCCCACCTACAGTACCTCAAATCAAAATCAACCTAGGCTCCTAGAACTGGTTTCTGGGATGTTCGCAACAGGACGATTGTTTTGCTGTACTGATCTCGAGCAGGTCAAGGGGTTAGCAAACTCTTGCCCAGTCATGCCCACCCCTTAGAAGGTGACATGAAGAGACGATGAACATAATGACAGCTGGATTAAGTACCCCCTATTAAGTACCTCCCAGCTCGACCCCCCCCAATACTAAACGAATTTAAAACCAAGATTTCCACCGTGGCATCACCCTAATAGTTTTTTTCTCAACCAGAAACCGAAACCTCCCCCTATTAATCAATCCCAGCTCCCCCCGAAAAAGATATAATTGGTTTTATATTTGCTTCTTTTTTATAGTATATATATATATACAGTACTTTATTTGCTACTATTCAATATCTTATGGTCCATGGTGAAACTGATTTTCTGATCCACCCTTGTCTCATGCCATCTCCTCTTATTAAGGGGATGTGGTCCTCAAATACCTCCAATCTCAGACCTTGTTGACCTTGTTGGGGGGGGAGAAAGGGGTGTTTATGAATCCGGTGTCGAGATTTTCTCACCCCGAAGCTTGGAAAACCTGGACCACAAACCCAGGTCCACACTTCGGCCCCCGAACGCCGACCGCTCTTTGAGCCATTTTTTTCCCCGCGCCGGGCGCGGCCTGCGCCGAAGGTGACCATCTTCCAGGCTTCGAGGCTCTTCTCCAAGGCCTCTCGGCGGCCTGGGATGGCTCCGGAGGGGCTCCAAGATCTGCAGTGCTGAGTGGAGGGACGGGGAAAGGCAGGAAAATCCAAAACAAAAGACCCATAACGTCTGGAGTCTGGACGCATCTCAAAAGGGAAAAGGCTTGCTGTGCTTCATGTAGTGTAGAGTATTTTCCGTCATCCAGTTTGTGTGTTGATTCCCTCTCCCCCCCTCTCTCCCTCCTTCCCCTCCCTCGCGCTCGCTCTCTCTCTCTCTCTCTCTCCAGGCTTGTGTTTATAGTGTTGACTCCCGTGCCCCTTGGAATGAATTCACCACCATTCTAGTTAGAGGAGGAACAGGTACGTCGGCTCGACCATCTTGCATTTAGTCTCCCTTTCTCTTAACCTCACGCACCTTGCTCGCTGGTGCGGTGCTATCCCACGGTTTCGCACGTGGGCCATGGGTTTCCCAAGGCCCAGGGCCGTGGAAAAGGAGCTCAACTGAGGCCGTCCACCAAGTACACACGTCTGTGGAACAAAGAAACTTGATGCCATTCTATGGAGGAATGGCCCATTCATCTCAACAAACATCCATCTCCAAGCATCTCTCTGACTGAATGGCGGATCACTTCGAGAAAAAAGAACAAGAATGAGTCCGGCGTCGATCTTGTGCTGGCATGACATCATTTAACATTGGGCGAGTCCGAGCTGGAGACCAGCGGCGAACACGACAGTGCCGTTCCAACGGGGATTGGTGGAGGCCAACTCTTCTTCAAGGGCATGTTGCATGGATCACCCAGAACCTGCAGACCCTTTTGGGTCGCAGTTTCTTCTCGGGTCTCGCAAAGCAAAGCCTCGCAATTCCGGCGGCCATGTCCGGTCCGGTTCCAAAGATACTGGCCGCATGGACATGACCCTGGCGCTACCCTCAGTATCCTCAGTTAAGCTTGGAACGATTAGAATGCCCTGTAATATACCAGTCTTTTTCTACAAGCTGTATATTACCTCCTCTAACTCTAGTGGTGTTGGACGAATACCCCTCAACCCCCCCCTTCTCGGTCAAGGTCTAGGCAGCCTAGGCAAGTCTCCTTAACTTCACTGAGAGTAGCTCTACACATGGCTCGACACTCCCTTTTCGGAGCGCGTCTCAAACGTCACGTCGATGGGCGAAATCAGATCGACGAGATCAAATAGATGAAGGTCACCAGAAGGACACCTCGAGCGGCTCGAGCGGCTCGATCGAAGACCGACACATGGCTACCTTGCTCCCCCTCACCCTGCAGACCCTGCAGTCACGATAGTGTCACAAAAGACGAGTTCTCCGAACATTGGCATCATTTTCCTCACTCAGGCCAGCATTGTACCGCTCTTCAAGCCCAGCGACCTCCCACCACCTCCCACCCCTCCGACCGGAGACGATCTGCGGTCTCCGGAGACCACCGGTCTCCGGTCACCCGCGTGACCAGGCGCCTGAGATGTAGGCCCATCGGAAGACCAAGTCCACCTGGTAGGAGGGCGGTCGCTCGCCAAAGGTAATGTTCATGGCCTGGCCGCCGACAGTCTGTCCGAGCT